TTTGAATCCTTATCGTTATTAAACTAATATTATACCCGGAAGGGTACTATTCAAGAAATTTGATGGTTGATTGAGTTTCTACTGCATTCTTACATTATTGTGCTTTTAAAAAATGACCATGATATTATTCCCAATAAAATATATTTTGCTACTTCCCATCCAATGTTTTGCTTAGATTTTTTTTTGCATTTCAAATCATTAACCACTTTCTTTTTTTTCAAGAAATTTGGACAACTTAGAAATAATATCTGTTTTGAATTTTACTCTTGCCCATTGCAAGCACTTGTCACAGCAACTTTTTTCTTCGAAAAGTTTTTTAGATTTCTTAAGTGACCGACAGCTTTTATAATACTGGGTATTTCTCTTAGCATTAACATAATAAGCAAAAAGAAATTCCATTGATTATATACAGCAATAATAAATCTAAACCCAGTGGCAGACCTTTTTTTTAGGGGACTACCAGGTTCGTTGAACTCTTTACCCTTGTCAAAATTTGGTGCATATCGATATTTTATCTTATCGCGTTATTCTGAACGGGTCATATAGCATATACAAGTTAATGAATGGTGTTGGTGGTCACGTGATCAAAAAATCTAATGAATCCGAATTTAATATGTGATAATAAATCCAGCTCTCAACGTCAAACTCTTCATTATGAATTTTTCTAAAAAAGCCACATTTTAAATTTTCGGGCCGAGGTGGATCAAGTTTGAGCCGGCCTAATTTCTAAATAAGACTCGTTCTTCGGGCGCACTCAACGAACATATGTGTACCTAAGCTTCGACCATGTAGAGAATAATCTATAAGAATTATCTATACGTAAACACCATTTTTTGTATGTGATTATATAGTACAAAGTTTAAATACAATATATAGATGTAAAGTGATATTGAATAGATATTCACGAGAATTTTTAATGATAATTTCAATCCATCCATCCGGACAAATTGATGATTTATTCATGTTAAAAAGCATATTACAAGAATAAAACTGATGATTGTCTTTATATTTAAAATTTATTACCGTCAATAAATCTTTAATTGTCTGCATAAATATGTTGTCCATGCATTACCCACCAATGTTATATGAGCATGTACTGAAAAGTCCGTACATTCACATAATTCCTTGAAATGTTCTCGTTTCTAACACTTGTCAGTTATTTCATGCTAAATGCATGATTAACCACCTTTATCAGAATTCGCATTTAACTTTCTAACCAAAACCTCATATGTTAAAATAGTTAACGCACTTGCAGGTACAGTTCTTAAAAGATTGGTTGACATTCCTTTATAAAAAGCTAGAAATCCTTCTTCGTGTCTTATTACCTTAACTGCATGCAATATTCCTAGATATTTAAATGGTTTACAAGTTTGGTTTTGTAACCTTGTACGAACTACTTCGTGTGGATATGTTGCTATAGATGCTGTCATTTTTGAAACGGATGACGCGAATAAAATTGATAAATTGGACAAATCTTTATCTGGTGATTCTGTGAAAATTAAATGTATGAAAAATTGGCGCCTAACCG